AAAAAAAAAAAAACACCCCCTTCCACTTTTCTCTCTACTTCCACTTCACCTCATATTTACTTATATACAAGTACAACATGCTTTAGTCAAAATACAAAACCCGTTGCAACATTTCATTCACTAAGAGCTAGCGCAAAATTTTGTTTTACCGGCATCAATTTCCCACTTGAAGTATACTACTCCACAGAATTCGCAAACTCAGCTGCTTATCTATGTATCATCTGCCAAGTCTCGTTCCTTGAAATTGGAATTGGATCACGAATTTCCTTTTTAACGAAACTAAGCCATCTCCAGAAGCTTAACATTTCCCATGGAATTTGCAGCCACTAAGGTGGTTGATTGACCACGCCAACAAACAGACGAGATGAACTGTGAAGTGTCGTCCACTTCATCACCAGAAAATGGATCGGTGCTATTGAATTTAAAGGACACTGCCGGCATTGGGAGGGCTTTGTGGTAGACAAAAACCTGTATGTATATACAACTGTCAACTTAAATCGGGAGGAAAAAATGGATGAACGGGCAAAAAGGGAATGAAAAAGAGATTGTACAAAATGCTTAAAAAATAAAATTAGCAACACAAGGAAAAAAAATAAAATTGAGTAGACGATAATATTGCTTCTTTCTTGTTCTTCTCTTTTTTCTTTCCTGATTTACACATGACCTAAGAATCTTGGGCTCGGCAGTCAGGGCCGACTTAGCTATTATAATGGAACTCTCGAGAATCATGCCACAACATCTATAAGATCAAAAGCAAAGTACAATAATATATTTCTTACATACTTACATAAAATCACACACATATATACTGTATAGATACAGTAAAAGCAATATCAATGAACATCAGTCGATTACAAAATATAAATCACAAAAAATTTTGGTGTTGCACAGAGTAGCAATGTGAAGTGAAACATGGTGTACCTCATTTGTCTCCGAGCCAGTTGCAATATAGCCGTCAGATACAGACAGGCCAACGAAATTCTGAAACAAAGTAAACATATCATCAGGACTCAACCATGATAATGTTCATGGCTGTCCATTTCATTTCAAAAGAAGGAGTTTCCGCCTTTCTCTCCAAATGGGTTAGTAATACATTGACTTCTATTTTAACTCACAAGTACCCGTGCCATATTTGTGATGCACCTATAAACCTGTCCTCTAGTTTTTAGTTGTCATCCACGCAGGTTTACAAATAAGGCTCAATAAGGTAATTTCATTCAACAAAGAAGAGGAAGATACACGCACCAAACAAAATCTACCAAAAAGCGAACCACAACTTGACCCGAGCAACACAAATAAAACTCGTATCATAAGAAACAAAACTACTCTAAAATGCCATTGGACACATAAGGTTTCCTTCCTAAAATGAAAGAAACAAGATTACCTTCAAATTGAGGTGGCCCGTGTACGTCTGAACAGGACAATCAAGAACTCTTGATGTACATACAGACAGATCCCATAGCTTTATCGTGTTATCAGTCGAAGCAGACACAAGAGTTGTCGAGTCAATAAACTTCACATAGCTCACAGTCTTATTATGCCCCACAAGAGTACACAGAGGAACTTTTGAGTTGCGAAGATCGTAGTAATATATCCTATGATCAGCCGAACCAAACGCTAAGGTTCGACCCGAGTCCGTGGGGAACTGAACACAGCACACATTGGCCTTTGTCCTAATTGTACCCACACTGACTCCCTGGATTACCGTCCCATGTAAAAAAAAAAAAAAAACGAAGAAAACAATATTATGTACTCAGAATTTCATTCCACCACGCACCGTTAACATTGCTTTTATTAGTATATTTTAGCGTTTCAAAGTTTGACATTCACCAAGTGCAAAAAATAGAATTGCCTGATTGATATTCCATAGCTTGACAGAACCATCATCACTGCCGCTGGCCAGCAGAGTGGGGTCCGCCACTGAAAAGTCAACAGACCACACCCGCCGTTCATGTTCTCTCATCTCCATGAAAGCTTGACTTCTTGTAACGTCCCATACCTTGAAAGAATATATCGAGTGAAATAATTAGTGATCCATGATTAGATAAAGGATAGAAAATATAGGCATAACTCAACAAACTACCCTTGTTTGTTTAGCGTAATTACAAAACACCACAATTGTATGATCAACTACAAATACCACCTTAAGTCGCTACTGTTTTTGTTTCCATAAGAAAAGCTAAGAATTTGATAGTGTCAACAGACATGAGCTTGAAATGTCATTATAGAAGTTGAATGATATTCAAAATCGTAAAAAATGACTCAGAATAATTCGAAATGTTAAAAATGTGAGCTAGGTAATAACGGAATTTGTGAAAGTACAATAACTAGCAGTGATTTCGTGACTTAAAAGTAAAAAATTGAGTAGAAACTGATTGATGGGAGAAAATAAGTAGAGTGAATGGTATAATCCTTGGCCAATTTCTTAGTAGAATAAACATATTTCGTTTGTATCCAACAGAGCTAGAGTGTACAGTATATTTTTATTTACCGGTACTCCTATTAACATGTCGTAAATGAAAAACCCAGCATCAACAGAGGTATTTATGATCTCGGAAAATAACTGAATCCTTTCTTATCAAGTATGCAATCCACAAGGGAAACAAAAATAATAGAAATAGTAACACGGGTTTCTTCACCCATCTTTACCTGCACCACGCCTTCAAAATTACTTGAAGCAATCTGGCTTTTAATATAGCCATTCCAGCATATGCTGCTAAGCTTCGACCTACCAGCCATCTCAACAACAGGATAATGGATGTCCCGGTGCTCATTTACTATAGAACTATACTCAAACACCTTGATTTTCTTGTTCACACCTGCAGTAGCGAAAAACTCCCCATCACGGTCGAAACTAAGGGAGCACACCAGGTTTGAAGAGTTGAGCAGATCCCCTTGCTTCAAATCCGCCTTCACTTTTAGCTTACTAAAAGCCAGATACTTGCACAGTCCCTCCAGGAAAGAGTTGATCCACCCACTTGGCTTGTCCTCATTAGTCAACTCTTTCGAGAATAAATTGATGATTGAGCTTCTTTCTTTCATAGACCCTCCTCTGCCATCACTACAGATTCTGCCTATGGGCCAGTCTGCGGGCTTTACGGCCCGACGTCTCATCAAAAAATAAGCTGATTCTACTTTCCGGAAATTTTTCATCAGCCGGGAATCCTGGGGGAGATTACTTTCTGGGCAATGTCCATCTTCAGGTTCGTCAGAGGACTCGTCCGGGCCAGTGAAAACATCATGGTCTGACCTGGTTCGCTTTCTTGAACCCGAGAAGACAGGGTTACCTTCGTCCCTCAGGTGGGGATTTCGAGATGAGTCATTGGCCAAGTCCAATCGCAAAATGCCTTTGCCCCTGAGGGCTGTCTGGAGCTTTGTCGCTTCTTCTATATCGGAGGATATACACGATATGGTCTCATGCAAGCTGTCGGCTGCCTCCTGTTTTTTCTGCTGAAGTGTGAAGAGGAATTCGAGTAGTAAATCCTGCTCCTCTATCTTTTCACGAAGCTCAATGGCGGCTTCCCTTTCCTCAAGATCATTCCTTGGCTCGTTCAAGAACTCACTCTGCAGCAGCTCACTGTTGGAGATGTACATGAACAAAAAAAAAGGATAACGAATTGGAAGGATTAACGCATATCAAGTATCATAAAAACCAATATGAACACTTGCAGAATGAAACGCACGTGAAGAGACCTGGAAATTAGTTCAGGTCATTAGCAAGCGAGATGGACAGATATATCACGTTATGTTCATTTGATAAAATGATAACCATCCATGAAGAAATGAAAAGACCATGGTGCATGTATCACAACAATCTCAATCCAAAAATAAGTTTGATGTCAGTAAATTCATCCCAGAATAATCGAATTCATTGAACATATTCTCAGCAGGTAATAAAACTACATCAACATTTAAGTTGAATATGCTGAGAAAGACTAATTAAGTATATGGGGAATGATTAATGAATACTGATCTGAGGGTCATGGTTTCGATGTCTTTACGCAAGCAGTCTTGCACATTTCAACCATTGGCATTTAATGGTTTAACATATAGTTATATATGAGGAAAATTCTTAATAAACCCAATTAGACGACATAATTCCTGCAGTAGACAATTGGTCTAAGGACCGGGTGTAGTCTACAGTACACCAACATGAGGACTCTTGTGCAAAATAAGCTATTACTTCATTACGTTCTTCCAATCAAAGTGAATGAAACAAACATAAAACTCACCCCACTTTGGGCCGACTACTTGGGTCGGGATGCAGCAGCCACAAGCAAAAAGAAGCTTCTTTAGGCCACTTGAGAAGCAAATGCGGAGGTAGTACACGATGTTTCAGGCTTGCCATAGTTGAGCTTTTCTCCTCCAGGGAGCTAGAAGTGCAAAACAACTGCTCATACGTGGAAATATACATTAGTAAGATTCTTGAAATTTTAAGTAGGGAGTGCTATCACAAACTTCTCGCATTAAAAGAAGTAATAAAGTACTGTAGGACCTACAACTAGTCGAGAATTAGGGATGACCAGCATCTATGTACAGAAGCTAGAAATCGAATTGGTTAAAAGGTTAATATCTCATATAGATACTAAAACCTGAATCACTTAAGAGATACTGTCCGGTAAATATGCTGAAAGATAAATGTCAAATTAGACACACCATCAGAGTCCAAAGCACTACTTAGGGTAGATAGAGGAATGAGTGCTTCATTCCCTTCTTCTCTGCCCATTAATATTCTGTTTAATTTAATTCATAACTAAGAGCTGAAGTTAGAGTTTGCAAACTCTAAAAACTACTTTTTAGTATTCACACAAACAAAGCAGACAATAACTTTTTCCCAATGAATTCCAAAACGTCCTCCAGTCAACCATAATGCAGTACATATCTTAACCAAAAGATCACTTTCATTTGAACAATCCACTATTCACTAACCTCAAAGAGTAAAACACCAAGTTGATAAACATCAGAAGCACAAGTAGCAACACCTCCAGATAACTCTTCTGGTGGAGTGTACCAATGGGATTCCATTAGCAAAATTTGCTTCATTGGAAAAGAATGCTTCATGTTATTATTTCCAATCCGTTCGCTCCCACTTGCTTCTAACGCATGCACGGGCCGGCCCGAAAAAGATTGCAAGCAACTGGTTTCGGATTTAAACCCCGGCAGCTGAGAATCTTCTAACACCCCCAACTTGGTTCCAGAGTCATGCTGCCCGGGTGAGGAAGAACCCTTAAACCCGGTGTGTTCTTGAGAATCCGAACCAGTATCCGAACAAGAAGCTGACTCAATGAAAGAAACCCGGTTAAGCGAGGACATGACAAAACAGGAAGGCCTAACATTGTGGACCACAATACTCTCCGAATGAGCAAGTTCCACAATATCCACAATTTGCGAAAATATATGAATGCACTCGAGGGAGTCGACTGCCCTTTCGGGATTATCCAACCACTGCCTCAAACTCACATCATTGCACTCAACAGGCCGGGCCACAGGTGAACCACCAGAGGCGGGCCCATCCTCAGGGCTTGCGGCCTGAGCTTTAAAATTATGAGGCCAAGGATTCTCTGTACCTTTCCTCACAGACAAGTAGCCAGAATCGTGAGATGCGCTGTCACCTGAAAACCTGACGGTGTTTGCTCCTAGAAATCGCCGGTTTCTGTCCAAGGTAGACGAACTTAACCCTCTCCAACTTTCAGACCTCCGCCAACCAGACTCAGATGAGCCCTCCATACAAGCGTGTATATATATATATATATATATATATATACAACTATAAGAAATGGGCTTTGAAAAACTTCTCGTCCATTCTGAAATCAGGACAGCGCTCGTGGTTTCAGATATAAAAAACCCATTTTTTTTTTTTTAAACAACTTCTTCAGACTGTGACTAGAGTTGCTCCCTCCTCTTGAATCTTGATCATAGATTCATATGCGCAGTAACCCAAGTGACAAGAAAGCACACAACTTTACACTGCAAAAAACCAACCCATGAAGCTAAAATTCACTAGAAACACAAGAAGAACAAGAAAAGGATCAGATTATTATTGGGAGAACATCTGTTTCACACAATTTAGATACACCGCTTTGTAAATAAAATAAAGCTGTGTGTGTGTGAGAGAGAGAGGGTGTTTAGAGTTTAGCCGGAGCAAAACGAAAGAATAATAAGAACCACACAAACTGATGCTATTAATTTTGTCCTCACATCCCAACTTTTTTTTTTTCTTTTCCTCAAGTCCCAACTTCAACAAAGACATCAACAATAAAGAAACGTTCTTTATAATATTACAAATATAAATAGTTTTTTTTTTTTTTTTTTT